GGGGGGGGGGGGGGGGGGGAGCATTTGTGGGGAAACCCTTGCTATGGGCGGCACAAACAGGCGAGGCAGACACACTGATGAGGCAGACATACTGATGAGGCAGACACACTGATGGTGCACAGCAATCCTCAGAAAGTAAGCACAGCACTCACGCCAAAAGAAAGCGCACAGCAAGGAAAAGCAGAATCGACTCTGATCAAACTATATAGGATTCCACGAGACGCGTGTGCTACGTGCGGGAAAGCTTTCCGGGCACAAATATAAGGACTGGCAGGCCTCCTGCGCACTCACCGTTGAATGTAGCCTTGATCATCTGTGTTTGTGATGGGCGAACACTACATTTCACATGACCAGATAAATATCATCACTTTATTACAATCGAAGGTTGCGTTCCGTGGTGCAACACCATGACGTCGTCTCATGTCTATCACCACACTTAATACAACACCCAGACTTCATCCAGTATCTAACACCACACTAAATACAATACACGGACTTCTTCAATTTTACCATTACATTCATACACCGCCCAGACTTCGTCTCATGCTTACGACCATATTAAGTACAACAGTAAATTTATTAGTCACTGAATATATTGCTACATCCACTTTTTCAGAATATCTGATAGAACTGCTTCCGACATTTAAAAAAAAAAATGGAACTTTATGTACTGGTCATCTTAAAATTGAGATTTTCAAGCAGATATCTTAGTTTGAATTCTTAAAACTGGTTATCTTAACAATGGTTATCTTAATAATGGATATTTAACAATGGATATCTTAAACTGGATATCCTTTACATAAAAGCATGTGTAAGTCTATTATCAGTTGGTTAGACACGTCTGAGGTACGTTCACACAGTACTTGGGGTGATATAAGATATGGGGCAATAGCAGTACTTGGGGGTGATGTAAGATATGGGGCTATAGCAGTACTTGGGGGTGATGTAAGATATGGGGCTATAGCAGTACTTGGTGTGATGTAAGATATGGAGCCGTAGCAGTATTTGAGATGGTGGAAAATATAAGGCTAACACATGAATTCATTTTAAAGATAGTTTACGCCTAATATGCCAGCAATGAATATGAATGATTTCCTTATTTGGAATACGGATCAATAATAATTTTATTCATGACCATTCAATTTCTAAAGTTCGCTGGTCCATGGGTCGTTTCTTTTTTTTTTTCCCCCAGGCGTCACTAAGACACCTCTGATTAAAAAACATGATAGAAATAGCACGCGCCAATAACCAAAGTGCCAGATAGTCAGTTCTTGGTCGGAGAATTATAAAAAGCCATCTTGAATAATAATATCATTATCACTATCAAAAACAGAAAATTTGACATGTCTGGGACAGCAAAACAAAACAACAACAAAACAAAAAAAAATATGTCTGCTATTAAGGTCAAGGATTTCCTCGTGCCATTTAAACATTTTTTTGTACAAAACACTTGAGGGTAAAAATTTTATCGTAGGTGGGAAAGTTTTACTGCAAAGGACATAGACATGTCAGGCTCAACATCTTCTAGGAATATCAAATATCATGAAGATGTTAACATGCATTATTTTAGATATGGTAACACCCCCCACACACGCACAGCATACAGCTTTATCAACCTGAAGACATCTCGATTATATTCAGTATCTCCCCCCCCACCCCCCCCCCCCGCGTCATCTGCGAGTGTCCACACGTTGGGTCGTGTGCGCTCTCTTGTCTTCAGGTTGATAAAGCAGTATGCTGTGCGGGTGTAGATGTTAACATGCATTATTTTAGATATGGTAACACCCCCCACACACGCACAGCCTACAGCTTTATCAACCTGAAGACATCTCGATTATATTCAGTATCTCCCCCCCCCCCCCCCCCCCCCGCGTCATCTGCGAGTGTCCACACGTTGGGTCGTGTGCGCTCTCTTGTCTTCAGGTTGATAAAGCAGTATGCTGTGCGGGTGTGGGGGACAGTGCAGCCAACCGTTGACAACGATGGCGTCCCTCACACATGCCTCCAAAGGACCTTAATCGTTAACCAGATTTCCGTTTAGAAACCGATAACCGGTTTGTTGGTGTTTACAAAGCGATAACCGGTTTGTTGGTGTTTACAAAGCGATAACCGGTTTGTTGGTGTTTACAAAGCGATAACCGGCTTGTTGGTGTTTACAAAGCGATAACCGGCTTGTTGGTGTTTACAAAGCGATAATCGAATTATTTGTATTATTATGGTACAAAAAATATATTTTTAAAATCAAAATGTTTTCATCGCAATTGTTGAGGTTTTAAGTAAATAATGATAATAAAACAATAAAAAATTAGCAGACATGGATGTCTACTAGAAATGGTAAAAATGTGTCACTACCTGGCTGCTGTGAAGATGCAAAGGGAAGAGATGTGTTAGGACAGTTCCCGTCGAGTTACGGACAGTTCTAAATATAGTTATCAAATATTAATATGAAATAGAAAGTACCCTAAACTGGTATTGGCGCTCAAATGATAATATTGTCAAAACTTTACACCCTGTACACCAATGTGTCCCAACTTTACACCCTGTACACCAATGTGTCCCAACTTTACACCCTGTACACCAATGTGTCCCAACTTTACACCCTGTACACCAATGTGTCCCAACTTTACACCCTGTACACCAATATGCCCCAACTTTAACCCCTGTACACCAATGTGTCCCAACTTTACACCCTGTACACCAATGTGTCCCAACTTTACACCCTGTACACCAATGTGCCCCAACTTTACACCCGGTACACCAATGTGTCCCAACTTTACATCCTGTACACCAATGTGACCCAACTTTACACCCTGTACACCAATGTTACTAACTTTACCCTCGGTACACCAACGTATTATAGTGTTAAATAAAATTTGATTTTTTAAAAGCCCCATATGCTCTTCGCTAATTATCAAAATAATTAGTGCCAAAAATGCTTTTGTTTTAATGTTAATGATGCTGACACATCCATTGAACTGACCACAGGGTCTGTCAATATTTCATTGTACATTTATGGACCTTCAATCGCTGGTCCGTCATTTGACATGTGAAACAAATAAATTTTTTAATTACTTTTATTGTGGTCAGATCTGCTTATCCCATGGACGCAGGCACACACAATTACGTCATTGAATCCTCACATAATTACATCATTGCATCCTCACACAATTACGTCATTGCATCCTCTCACAATTACATCACGAAATCCTTACACAATTACTTCACTGCATCATTACACAATTACGTCATTGAATCCTCAGAATTCTATTCAACTGTTTTAGCGCAATAAAAAAAAAATAGTGAATCCATCATTTGGGAGAAATTGACTCGCCCAATTCATGTTCGTGCACATTTTCTGTGATGTCTGACTGCAGGATTATTTGAACAACTCTAAATAAACCCAATTCATGTTTGTGCACATTTTCTGTGCTGTCTGACGGCAGGATTATTTGAACAACTATAAATAAGCCTTGTTCCATTAATTATTAAAGCAATCTTATTTTTTTCAATTAATTTTCTGAGCTCATTATAAACTCTTGAGGACTTCCTCCTCTAGGAGCGCTATACTATTGCCGCGGCACATTTGGTGCCACCTCGCGGCACACCGACCCATTTGTTGGCACCTCACGGCACATGTGTTAGCATCTCGCGGCACATCGGCCCATTTGGAAGCAGCTCATGACACATCGCTCCATTGGGTAGCATCTCATGACACATCGCCCCATTTGGGAGCGTCTCGCGACACACCGGTTATGGGACTATATTCTAAGCCATAGCACACTAATAGTGTATAGATACATTGAAAGCGTCACCTTTAAAGTAATCCAATAAAAAATCACGTGACGAAGTATCCACTGAAGTAACGTGACACCAAGAGTCGAATTATTCTTACTTGGATAAAGTCTTAAAGCGGCACAAAATCCACTGATGTAATCCATTACAGTTTATGCCACAGAGCATCCAGTGACATAATCCATTACAGCTTATGCCACAGGGCATCCACTGCTGCAATCCATGTACAGAAAGCGGATCACGTGAAGAAGTAGCTCAATGCCGTGTGCCATGTCAGCATATGGAAGGTACAGTCTTTTGGAGAAAGACAATGGAGTCACCGAGACTCCATAATCATAACACAACCATTCACTAGAATTGCGCTGAATAATATCCATTCAAAAATTTAGTTCCTTGTACTTAAACGCCCTCCTATCTTGACACCGACACACGCTGCCAGTGGTCTGCCAACGGCTAATGCAAGAAGAAGAATCAGGAAGCCAAGAAACGTGAGCTGTACTGCGACGTGTTCGGTCGTGCTCTGCTGTCGTCTGATCCCCGGCCTGTACAGATTAGGTCTAAAACAAATCGGTCGCACGCGAGTTGTACATAAATAGAAATGTGGATTGTCCATCGTTTGGCGACGGACCAACCTTTAAGGTCAATGCTTTTATCGGATCTGGACTATGCAAGACTCTATACTATAAATCTCTTGAATCATTTTTTTTTCTTAATTTTTTTTTTTATTTGGGGAGGGGGGTTTACTTTGCCCACATAATGGGTTAAAAAAAAAGGGGGGGGGGTATTTA